GGAGAACGGATTTGTGGTTGCCAAGGGTTAGGCTGGGACGGGGGACTGGAGCGAATTAGGTGAAGAGGCAACATGAGGGATGTTGTGGTATAATTGTGTATCTTACTGTATCCAATTTTTTGTTGTTGTTGTTGTTTCAGAGTCTTGCTCTGTCGCTCAGGCTGAAGTGCAGTGGTGAGATCTTGGCTCACCACAACCTCCGTATCCCGGGTTCAAGCAATTCTCTTGCCTCAGTCTCCCAAGTAGCTGGGATTACAGGTGCCCACTACCATGCCTAGTTAATTTTTAAAATTTTTACTAGAGACAGGGTTTCACCATGTTGGCCAGGCTGGTCTCAAATTCCTGACATCAGGTGATCCACCCGCCTCGACCTCCCAAAGTGCTGGGATTGTAGCACCTGGCTACAATTTTAAAAATTTTGTTTAAAAAATCCCTCCCATCTGGAGAACATAAACATATTTTCCTATGCCTTCTTCTAAAAATAAGAGTTTCACATTTAACATTCAGGTATTTAAATCATCTGGAAATTATTTTGGGCATGATGTGGGATCGTACTTACTTATTTTTCTATATGGGAAACCAATTTCCCATTATCCCATGGACCATCCTTTTACCAGGTAGCAAAATAGAAATACTTTGTTTTTTTGCACAATGTTTTAAATTTAAAAGTTATTATAATAATTGTTTTGTTTGTTGGTTTGTTTCTTCATTTTCTACATATTACCTGTATAGTTATACCTAATTAAACACCGAATTCTATACCAATTCAATAAATCTGCTCTCAAGATATTCTAGAATCTTCTCGAGTGCTCTAGTTCAGACTGTTTGCCCTCTGCCTGGAGTCAGCAGTCAACCCTAGGATTTCCTTTCACCTATCCTGGGGATTCCCTTGCCTTTCTCCAGTGTGGGATTGACAGTTTCCCATGTCTTTCTCTCTCTTTTTTTTTTTTTTTCTTAGAAGCAGAATGTCTGAAGTGATCCTATGTCTTTCTCTTTCTTGAGTTATTTCTTTTTTTGGTGAAGCACATTCTCAAGTAGTTTTCTGAGAATGGGACCATATGCAGTAAATTCTCGAGGCCTTCAAGGTTCTACAATTTTTCCTCAACTTATTTAGATGTGGAATTTTTAAAAAAGTTATGTTGAGACTTTCACTTCCTGGATCTAAGTATTCATGTCTTTTATATATATGTATGTGTGTGTATATATACACATATATTTAAATTCTGAATAATTCTTAATCTCATCTCTTCAAATATTGCCTTTCCTTACTCTTTCCATTCTTGCCATCAGAACTCCTGTTTGTTACATGGACCTTTTTCTTTCAATATTCATATCCCTTAAATTCTCTCTCATATTTTCCATGCTTTTCTATGTTTAGGAGTCTGAATAATTTCTTCAGCTCTATCTGCCCCTTTACTAGTTCTCTTTCCTAAATAGATTTGTTTAATCTATTCAGTTTTTAATTTCTTTTTTTTTTGTTTTTTTGTTTTTTTTTGAGACGGAGTTTCACTCATGTTACCCAGGCTGGAGTGCAATGGCGCGATTTCGGCTCACTGCAACCTCCGCCTCCTGGGTTCAGGCAATTCTCCTGCCTCAGCCTCCTGAGTAGCTGGGATTACAGGCACGCGCCACCATGCCCAGCTAATTTTTTGTATTTTTAGTAGAGACGGGGTTTCACCATGTTGACCAGGATGGTCTGGATCTCTTGACCTCGTGATCCACCAGCCTCGGCCTCCCAAAGTGCTGGGATTACAGGCTTGAGCCACCACGCCCGGCAGTTTTTAATTTCAAAGACCAAATTTTTAATTTCTGTGAATTCTATTTTGGTACTTTTTTTTTTTTTTTTTTGAGACAGGGTCTTGCTCTGTCACCCAAGTGCAGTGGTGCAATCTTGGCTCACTGCAACTTCCACCTCCTGGGCTCAAGCGATCCTCCCACTTCAGCCTCCTGAGTAGCTGGGACCACAGGCATGTGCCACCATGCCTGACTGATTAAAAAAAATTTTTTTTTTCTGGCCGGGCACGGTGGCTCTCGACTGTAATCCCAGCACTTTGAGAGGCCGAGGTGGGTGGATCACCTGAGGTCGGGAGTTCGAGACCAGCCTGACCAACATGGAAAAACCCCGTCTCTACTAAAAATACAAAATGAGCCAGGCATGGTGGCTCATGCCTGTAATCCCAGCTACTCCGGAGGCTGAGACAGGAAAATTGCTTGAACCCAGGAAGCGGAGGTTGCAGTGAGCCAAGATCGTGCCATTGCACTCCAACCTGGGCAACAAAAGTGAAACTCCATTTCAAAAAACAAAAAATTTTTTTTGTAGAGATGAAGTCTCACTATGTTGCCCAGGCTGGTCTTGAACTCCTGGGCTCCAGCAATCCTCTTGCCTTGGCCTCCCAAAATTCTGGGATTACAGACATGAGCCACTGTGCCCAGCCGTATTTGATACTTGTAAAACATTATACAGGTCTCTACTTTTTGTCCTTGTATCTTTCCTCTTTCCCCATTTCTGTTTGGCCGGTATCTGACTGGTTGGTTATCTGATCCTCTTGGGGTCTACTCCTGCTCTTGTTATTTCTGCTGGTACTCACAGGGACATTCTTATAATTTTTGATTACAAACTTATCTTCAGGACATGGTTCTCTGTGGTCTAGGTTAAAGACGTGTCTTTCTGGAAACATTTTATTTTGTTATGGCCACTCAGAATCCAGGATTTCGTTTTGTGTAAATTTCTCAGCTTTGGGCCACTTGGACCACATGTGTAGCGTTGATTTGAACCTAAACCCAGTGAAGGCAGGTCTGTTCTTATGAAGGAGATCTTTTTTCCTCACTCAGAACCCAAGCCAGGATGAACTGTATTCGTCATCTTCTCTGCAGATGGCTGCATGTTTTTTTTCCCATCCACCACTTCACTGAAGTCCTTGTTGGGGGAGGGGACAGTTCTGTGAAGGAGCTTGTCTCCTGTTCCTGCCTGGGCACTAATGCCTGAGTCTCTGGTTCACTGAGCTTCAAATGCTCTCTTCCCTGCCCACCCCTCTACTTTGGGCCACAGCTACATCAGCTCAGCTGCACCCCACCCTAGTTTTCAATTCCCTGTTTGAGGGCCCTAGTGATTTCTTTTTCTCTCTTAAAAGCTCTGACATGCAATTAAAAGGAGTTTATTATAGCTGATCTAGCATTCCTGTGTTTTGTGGTAGGAAAGTTTTTCAGATAATCTTGTCCATGATATTGCCCTTGACACTTTGTTATGATTACAACTTTTTTGAGATGGAGTCTTGCTCTGTCCCCCAGGATGGAGTGCAGTGGCACGATCTCAGCTCATTGCAACCTCCACCTCCTGGGTTCAAGCGATTCTTCTGCCTCAGCCTCCCAAGTAGCTGGGATTACAGGTGTGTGCCACCACGACCAGCTAATTTTTGTATTTTTAGTAGAGATGTGGTGCCACGCTGGTCTTGAACTCCCGACCTCAGGTGATCCACCCACCTTGACCTCCCAAAATGATGATATTACAGGCATGAGCCACCACTCCCGGCCTGTTGATATTTTAAAAGTTAGAGATAAAGGATTGTAGGAGTTTCAGAGAAGAAAAGTGGAGCTGGTGGGAGTGAGGAAATGAGGGGAAGATCAAGAGCGGCCTTAAAAAAGTGACTGCTAGGGGATAGGAACACAGGAAGGGACACAGCAGGTACAAAAGCAGGAAATGCCAATGCAGGTATGGAGAAGAGCACTCAACTCTCCGCTGCAGTACAACCTGTGAAGGGGAAATGAAGTTGGAGCCTGGGGTACAGTCTGTGAAGGGGAAATGAGGTTGGAATCAGATCACTGAGCGGCAGGAAGCTACTAAAGTCTTACAGCGCATACCATGATCACAAGCTTTGTTTCAGGGAGTTTAAACTGGAAGCATGTCCAGGAAGAACGGGTATGGGGGTGGCAGGAGAGGAGTGTGGATTCGGAAAGATGGCTCTGGAGGCTGTGGAAACAGTCCAGGCGATGGGTAGTAAGGCCTGAATGGGGTAGCTGGTGGGGTGGGGTGTAGGGGGACCACTGGGAGAGGGTGAAAGAGATTCAGCTGCACCAGATAAAGAAATCTAGGTCAAGAGCTGAATTGGAAGTAGAAGAAAAGCCAGGCAAGCACATTGTCTGAGTCCTGGGAAATGAATTTAAAATGTCAAGAATTATTTATTTTTTTAATTTTTTTTTTCTTTTTTTTTTGAAACAGAGTCTCGCTCTGTCGCCCAGGCGTGCAGTGGCGTGATCTTGGCTCACTGCAACCTCTGGCTCCCAGGTTCAAGTGATTCTCCTGCCTCAGTGTACCCAAGTAGCTGGGACCACAGGTGCCTGCTACCATGCCTGGCTAATTTTTTTCTCTCTCTCTCTGTGTGTGTGTGTGTGTGTGTGTGTGTGTGTGTGTGTATGTGTGTTGGAGTCTTGCTCTGTTGCCAGGCTGGTGTGCAGTGGCACGATCTTGGCTTACTACAGCCTCCGCCTCCCGGGTTCAAGCAATTCTCCTGCCTCAGCCTCGCACGCCACCACTCCCAGCCAATTTTTGTATTTTTCAGTAGAGACGGGGTTTCACCAAGTTGGCCAGGATGGTCTCGATCTCTTGACCTCATGATCCGCCCGCCTCGGCCTCCCAAAGTGCTGGGATTATAGGCGTGAGCCACTGCGCCCAGCCATTTTTGTATTTTTAGTAGACACGGGATTTCACCATGTTGGCCAGGCTGGTCTTGAACTCCGGACCTCAGGTGATCCACCCACCTTGGCCTCTCAAAGTGCTGGGATTACAGGTGTGAGCCACCACCTAAAATGTCAAGAATTATCAGAGCTGTTACCTACCTTTCAATATTGTTCAGATATTGCCTACAAATGCTAATAAACAGTTCATTTGACTCTGTTTGCAGCTCACGATATTTTTAGGCTTCTTGATGAGTAATTGTCATTGAATTAGAGACAGCATGTCCCAACAAATCTTCAGTGAGTAGCGATGGTTTTGCTTTTCCTAGAACCTGCTGACATGGCCAACCATGGAGCCGACGAGCCATCCTCCAGGTCAGGGAGTCCGGACGGGGAAGACAGGGCCTCTGAGGACAGATCACTGCTTCATCAGAGGCTGGCTGTCCAGGAGCTCATCGACACCGAGGTCTCCTACTTGCACATGCTCCATCTCTGTGCCTCTGACATCAGGAGCCGCCTCCAGCAGGTACTTGGGTGAGGTCACACACAGCCTGTCTTTATAGGGGCAAATGTGGGTCTCAGATTCTGAGACTTCCCATCCATTCCTGGGGCAAGCTTGATAGAAAGGAAGCATGGTGTTTGTGAAGTCTGACAGACCTGGATGTAAACTCCAGTGCTTCCATTCATTGGCCATGCAACCTCCAGCAAGGCCTTCCGTGGCTTAGAGTGTTAGTATATTCCTCGGTTGACTGGGGAGAGGAATAATCACCTGGGAGAACTATGTGAGCTAATGAACAAGCCTGTTTCAAGTTTGGAGTAGATTGCTTAAACTGACCTGTATTCTCCTCCTCCTCCTCCTCCTCCTTCTTCCTTTTCCTGCTTCCCCTTCAAGGGTCTCTTTATTCAATCTGCAAAGTCACTGTCAGCAACTTGGCCTGGCTCTCTGTGGCTTCCAACAAGGAAATGCTTAAAAGTCAGGAAATGCATTTGGTACCTCTCCTGGTACCAAAAATTGACTATAGCCTCTTTGGGCACCCTGAAATAAATCAATAGCACTTGCTTTTTTTTTTTTTTTTTTTTTTTTTCTTAACTTTTTTACAAAAATTTTTAAAAAAAATCTCTATTATATATATATATATATATATATAGAAACTATATTTATAGACACACATACATATAGAGAGAGATCCTTCAACCAAGAAGAGGAAAGGGATCCAGCATCCTCTGGGGTGCCCCTTGGCCTGGTGCAGGAAGGACAGGAGGCACTAGCTGTCTTGGGAATCATCTCGAGATGTGTAGTGCTGAGCTGATGTGGCATGGATGGGGGGGTCCCCAACAGCCCTCACTCTCTAAGGAAGGCGGAGCTACGACGAACCAGGGCAGCCCTCACTCAAGCTTTCCACACGTCCTGAAATGCAAGCGGTACCTGATGGAGCCTTGAACTAAAACCCAAAGTTCAGATACAACAGGATTCCCTGCTTGGCCTCTGGGGGACTGACTCCTTAGGGAAGAGTTTCAGGAGTGTCAAGCAGCAGGGGCTGGAAGAGCCAGCAGGGAGGACATATGTCTACAGCCTCCAGGCCCAGAAGATAGGTGTCATGGACACAGAGGTCTGCTCAGCCACAGAAGGGCTGGGCTCTGTCCCCTTTTCAGGTCTCCAACCACAGCCCCTGCAGACCTTCAGGCAGGGGAGCCCAAAAGGCCAGGGCGAGGCTCCAATTACCCAGGGAAGCTGGAGGCAAACTTTTTTTTTTTTTTTTAATGCAGCAAGGTCTCACTGCATTGCCCAGTCTGGTCTCAAACTTCCAGGCTCGAGTAATCCTCCCATCTCAGCCTCCCAAGGCAGACTCCTGATTAGCTAGGATTACAAGCACGTGCCACCACACCCAGCCATGACCTGCATTCTAATTGTCTTATTTGCAGGGTGGTGACATGGAGAAATTATCACTATGAGGGTTTCTATTATAGTGCTCACTTTTTACATTTTCTTTTTCTGGTTTTAGAAATCATGCAGGCTCTTGCTTGCTACATTTCAAGCATCTCCTCACATTTGAGTTCCATTAGGGCAAAGATTCTGTTTAGTTCAGTATATCCCGGTCATGACAGATAAATAATGGACTTAAAATTAGTCTTTCATCAATGAATGAAATACCAAAGTAGATAATGTAGAAAGTGGAGTACTTGTTTTATTTTACCCTCCAGAAATTATAATTTTTCTCCACACGCATTAAACAAACAAATACAGTCATATGTCACATAACACCAGGGATGTGTTTTGAGAAATGCGTAGTTAGGCAATTTCATCATGTGCAAAGGTCATAGAGTGCACTTACACAAACCTAGAGGGTATAGCCAATGACACACCCAGGCTGGATGGTATGGCCCATTGCTCCTAGGCTATAAATCTGTACAGCCTGTCACTGTCCTGAATACTAAGACAACTGCAACGCAATAGTATTTGTGTATCTAAACACAGAAAAGGTCGAGTGAAAATACGATATTATAATCCTATGAGATCGCCCTGGTTTATGCAGTCCATCATTGATCAAAATGTTATTATGCAGTACATGACTGTATATGTTGTTATTTATTTTAACAAAAACAAGAGCGTACTCTAGATATTGTTCTGCAGTTAGCTTTCCAACTTGTGTGTCCAGCCCATTCTTCCATGCTTGTGCATTTATAGAGATGTCCTGCATCTTTTTAAACAGTGGAATATACCAGGTATATAGCCTGGTTAATAGGAGCTGGAGAATGCACCTTGAGGTCATGGCGGCTGGTGCCAAGTATGTCAGCGCTGGAAAGAAGTCTAACTTCTCACCCTCAGGTGACAGATGGGGAAACTGAGAGAAGATAGCTGGCAGCAGACCTAGGCTAAAACTCTGGTTCAGCTTTCCTTCCACACTGAGTACTCCGTCTCTTCCTCTCTTCTTGTAGAGTAATGAAAATACCTAATTTATAGCATTTCAAAATCCTTGCAAAATTCCACTGGGGCTGCCAGTCTTCTCCAGAGTGATGGCAATAGTGTGAATGTTCTGTTCTACTCTTGAAAGCCTGCAAATATACTCTATGGAACTCCCAGAGACCACCCATGTCTTCTTTGTTCCTTCCAGTTGCCGCAGGGAGATCTCGATGTCCTGTTCTCCAACATTGATGATATCATCAAGGTGAACAGCAGATTCCTTCATGATCTGCAGGAGACAGCCTCCAAGAAAGAAGAACAAGTGCAGCTAGTTGGTAAGCAAAAAAACCTAAAGAATTGTCAGCCTTAGAACTGTTCTCAGTGAGTGGTCCCTGTTTAACTGTCTCCAGAGTTCCAGGAAAATGCAGCTCAATGGCAGTCCATTTTGGTGATCTCCAAAACACAACATAACAGAGCCAGCAGGGCCCTCAAATAACATCTAGTCCAGTCCCATTGCTTTACAGACAGAGACTGAGCCCCAGAGACAGAGAGGAACATACTCACAGTCACATAATTGTTAATGATGCAGCTAGATCCTTAGTGTGTGTCTCTTTCACATTCATTCATCCAATAGTTATTTACTGAGCAATTGCAGTGTGCAGTCACAGGGTCAGCAAGAGAGCCTGAGCTTCCATTCTCATGGGGTTGACAAGTTAGTGAGAGAGACAGAAGATAGACAACAGAATTGTAGGTAATAATTTGTAATTTGAAGGAAATAAATAGTTGTGGTAACTTCTGGGTGTGAGGGAAGGCCTCTGGAGGAGGAACATGTGAGCTGAGATCTGAGTGTCAGGAAGGAGTTAGCCTTGAGAATATCTGGAGGGAGACTAGAGAGCATAGTTGTGCAAAAGCCCTGAGGCAAGGATGAGTTGAGAACGTTTAAAGGACAGACAGAAGGTTAATGTGACTCCAGGGAAATTAGTGACGGGAGACTGTTAGGGGATAAGATGGAAGAGGCACACAAGGACCACATCATGCGCACCTTTATAGGTGATGGCAAGGAATTTGGAATTATTCTAACTGTGATAAGGAGTCTTGGACAGTTTTGAGTGAGGAAGTGACATGGTTTGATTTACGTTTTTCAAAGGTCTCTTTGGCTGTTGTGGACAGTGGATTATAAGGGGATGGTAAAAATGGAAGCAGCGACACTAGCTGAGGGCTTTACTGTGGCCCAGATGAGAAATGAGGAGAGTCTCCTTTCAAACTTTTTTTTTTTTTTTGAGATGGGATCTCAATCTGTTGCCCAGACTAGAGTGCAATGGAAAAATCATGGCTCACTGCAGCCTCTACCTTCCAGCCTCAAGGATCCTCCTGCCTCAGCCTCCCAAGGAGGATAGTATCCTCATTCTGAAATGGTTAGGATGACCAGAGCAGAAAGAAGGGAGGAGTGGGTGCAAACCTCATATCTGTCTCATCCCATCTGCTACCAGGATTCTCACGGTGTGGGGTTTCCTAGCGGAGTCAGGAGATAAAGGTGAATGGGTGGGTACCAGATTCACTACAGTGGCAGGGAGGAGGAAATGAAGGTACCCCGTGCTTTGGCCACCCAAGTCCCCCTGGCTTTTATACCACCTATCTTCAACCCTATCCTGGACATGAATGATGAGGATGGGGATTAAAAATAACAAATATGCAAACAAATGTATATACATATTTTTTTGAGATGGAGTCTCGCTCTGTCACCCAGGCTAGAATGCAATGGCACTATCTCAGCTCATTGCAACCTCTGCCTCCTGGGTTCAAGCGATTTTCCTGCCTCCGGAGTAGCTGGGATTACAGGTGCCTGCCACCATGCCCGGTTAATTTTTGTATTCTTAGTAGAGATGGAGTTTCACCATGTTGGCTATGCTAGTCTTGAACTCCTGACCTCAGGTGATTCTGCTGCCTCAGCCTCCCAAAATGCTGGGATTACAAGCGTGAACCACTGCGCCTGGCCTAAATATACAATCAAATCTTAAAAACCTACTTTCTGAGGCCGGGCGCGGTGGCTCACGCCTGTAATCCCAGCACTTTGGGAGGCCGAGGAGGGTGGATCACGAGGTCAAGAGATCGAGACCATCCTGGTCAACACGGTGAAACCCCGTCTCTACTAAAACTACAAAAAATCAGCTGGGCATGGTGGCACGTGCCTGTAATCCCAGCTACTCGGGAGGCTGAGGCAGGAGAATTGCCTGAACCCAGGAGGCGGAGGTTGCGGTGAGCCGAGATCGCGCCATTGCACTCCAGCCTGGGTAACAAGAGCGAAACTCCGTCTCAAAAAAAAAAAAAAAAAAAAACCTACTTTCTGAGTGTTTACAAAATGCTAACCACAGTTCTTATGCACATATATTAATTCACTTCGTCTCAAAATAACCCTGAAAGGTAGATACTATTATCTCATTTTACAGTTGAGGAATCTTTGGCACAGAGAGAGGCAATCACCTCCTTAAAGTCAGGCAGCTAGGGCAGAGCCAGGATCTGAATGCAGGTGGTTGGCCTTGAGAGCCAAGGCTCTCAATTGCTACACTGAATTGCTTCTGCATGGTAGAAGGTGAGAATAAAGCCTGTGTGTACTGTGTGTTTATCATTCCTTTGAAAATATAGTTCTTTATTAAAATAGCAATGTGAGTGTGTTACTAGTCCCTGTAAATGATAAAGGAATGCAAAATTAAAGAATAAGATTTTTTTTTTTTTTGAGCGGAGTTTCACTCATGTTACCCAGGCTGGAGTGCAATGGCGCGATCTCGGCTCACCGCAACCTCCGCCTCCTGGATTCAGGCAATTCTCCTGCCTCAGCCTCCTGAGTAGCTGGGATTACAGGCACGCACCACCATGCCCAGCTGATTTTTTGTATTTTTAGTAGAGACGGGGTTTCACCATGTTGACCAGGATGGTCTCGATCTCTTGACCTCGTGATCCACCCGCCTCGGCCTCCCAAAGTGCTGGGATTATAGGCTTGAGCCACCGCGCCCGGCAAGATTTTTTTTTTTACCAAAATAAGATTGTTTTTTTCCAATTCTGAAGCACAACATTCCAAACAATTCCAAAGAATAAGATTTTTAAAAGTACCTGTAGGTCAGGCACAGTGGCTCACGCCTGTAATTCCTGCACTTTGGGAGGCCGAGGCGGACAGATCACTTGAAGTCAGTTCAAGACCACCCTGGCTAACATGATGAAATCCCGTCTCTACTAAAAATACAAAAGTTAGCCAGGCGTGGTGGCACACACTTGTAACCGTAGCTACTTGGGAGGCAGAGGCATGAGAATCTCTTGAACCCAGGAGGCAGAGGTTGCAGTGAGCTGAGGTAACTAATCTCATTAGCTTCTGATTTGAAAATATGAAACACTTCACAAATTTGCATGTCATTTTTGCAGAGGTGCCACGCTAATCTCTATGTTGTTTCAACTTTGGTGTATGTGATGCTGAAATTGAGCACCAGCATGATCCTTTTAAGCAGAAATCAGGTCATGTCACCATTGTTCAAAGCCATCCAGTTGCTTCCTGCCACCATTAGAATAAAACCTGAATCCCTTACTGCACTTAACTTATTTTGAGACCCTACATGATCTGGCTTCTGTTTCCTGCTTATTTCCTCTACTTTATTTTTATTTTATGTAATTAATTAATTAATTAATTTATTTTTAAGATGGGGTTTCACCATGTTGGTCAGGCTGGTCTTGAACTCCTGACCTCAGGTGATCCACCCGCCTTAGCTTCCAAAGTGCTTGGATTACAGGCATGAGCCACCACGCCCGGCAATTAATTTATTTTTTGAGACAGAGTCTCGCTCTGTTGCCCAGGCTGGTGTACAGTGGTCTCAGCTCACTACAACCTCTGCCTCCCGGATTCAAGCGATTCTCCTGCCTCAGTCTCCTGAGTAGCTGGGATTACAGGTGCCTGCCACCACGCCCAGCCATTACTTCTGGCCTCTGGTAGACATTCACATCTTCTGAGAGGTCTTCCCCAAGTAGATCCCCTACCATTCTCTAACTCTTTATTTGGCTTCATTTTAATTCATGGCACTTATTATTCCTGACATATGTAATATATTTATTTATTGTCGGTCTTCCTCACCCCAGAATATAAACCTTATGGACAGGAGCTTTCTTTTGTTGACAGAGCTTAGCAGAGTGCCTGGTACATAGACAATAAATAAGCAGTTGATGAATATCTGGTGAATATTTGCTGCTTCAGGAGTGTGTCTCTATCAGTGCCTATGTCAGGTGCTTTACATGCATTATTTTATTTAGTCATTATCAAAAACCCTTGGAGGTAAGTACTGTTTTTATTTGCATTCTATAGATGAGAAAGGTTACACAACTGAGGAAGGGTCGTTGGGGATCTTGCCCTAGTTCCCTCGAATGTGAGCCCACACGGTAACCGCCTGTGCTATGCTGTAGCATGTCTTTGTCAATTGAGGATTTGTCATTGTGCTTGCCACACATTTTGTCTTTAATTGTAAAGATAAAATGAGCTAAGGGTCATAAGTGTGTTTTGTGTACTATAAAGCACTGTCCAAATGTGAGCATTATTAATATTCCTGGTATGACTATAGCTACCATTTAGTAAGTGCTCACATTGTCCCAGCCTAAGCTATATATCATTCTGTCACTCAATCCTCAGAACAACCTTGTGGAAAGATGAAAAAAACCAGAAAGTCAGGAAGATGAGGTCATTTGCCCATGGTAACATGCTGGTAAGCCCAGCAATCTCAGTGGAGAGCTGGAAGGGTTTACTTACTGCCTCCCTGTTCCAAGCTAGGGGATGAACAGACATGCCCTTGATGACTCCTCGTTGCATGTTCACCCTCAGGTAACTTATTTCTGGAATTCCAAGAGGAGTTGGAGCAAGTCTATAAGATCTACTGTGCCAGCTATGACCAGGCCTTGCTATTGGTGGAGACGTACCGGAAGGAGCCGGAGCTGCAGCAGCATATCCAGGGCATCATTAAGGCAGTGGTGTGAGTAGAACAGCCAGTGAGCACTCGCTGCTGCCCCACTGACCCGGGTCAGGGGCAGCTACAGTCTCACCCTGACTTCATGCCATTCATGCTGCTTCAGGAGTATACCTCGATCGGCACCTGTATTAGTCAGGATAGGGCAGGCTGTGCTGCAGAGACAAACAGCTCCCACATCTCAGTGGTTTCAGACAACAAAGGTTTATGTCTTCCTTAGGCTCCACTGCAGGCTGCCTGTGGCTCTGCTCCTTGTCATCCTCACCCTGGGACCGAAACTCACAGTAGTCACTGTCTGGAATATTGCCAGTAACTGTGACTTAAGAAAAAAGCCACAACAATATGTGAGCCCGTGTGTTTCCTCACAGCCTCACTATAGAGTGCGTTATCAGACTTCAGAATATTTGCCCCTGCAATGGATTAAAAGTGTTGTCTCTATATGGTTTCATTTTGCATTTATCTTATTATTAAAGATATCCAATCATCATCAGATAAATGATTAAAGATATCTTTTTATTTATTTAAGAGTCATTTGTATATCCTTTCCTGTGAATTGTTTTGCTTCTTTTCTTTGAGACAAAGTTTCGCTCTGTTGCCCAGGCTGGAGTGCAGTGGCACGATCTTGGCTCACTGCAACCTCTGTGATTCTCCTGCCTCAGCCTCCCGCATAGCTGGGACTACAGGCGCGTGCAACCATGCCTGTCTAATTTTTGTACATTTTAGTAGAGACAGGGTTTCACCATATTGGCCAGGCTGGTCTTGAACTCCTGAACTCGTGATCTGCCCACCTCGGTCTTCCAAAGTGCTGGGCTTACAAGCGTGACAGGTGTGAGCCACCTCGCCCAGCCCTTTTGTTTTAAAAAAGGTTATACCTTCCCCAGGACAAGCTCACCAAAGGAAGATAGATGAAGGTCATTTTCTGGAAATCTGAATAGTATGGGAAGAGCAGGAGTCATCATTCTGATCATCATGATTAATTCATCTACTCAGACATCCCTTTTATATCCAAGAGGCAGTGTGGACTGAGGTCTGTGAAGGCGAGATATCCCATGTGGAGTCCCCTGCTACCTCCCCTCCTCCTCTTCCTCAGGTTTTTCTCACTCTTTAATCCCCTCTTTCCCCTAAGTCTCCTTTCAAGAACCCATGTCCTAGCCCCTCTCTGCTTCCAAAAAACCAACACTCATTTTCCCCCTTTACTAAACCCTTCATGGGTCTTACCAACAGGCTTCTGCAAGGGTCACTAGATATGTTTCTATAGTTTACAGATATAAGGGAAGCAAGGTGCCAGACATGAGACACAAGGGAGAAGCGGAGGCTGCACCGACTGGAGCCAACAGGCCCTGTGTGGCGTGCAGCTGCAGCACGGCCTTAGCTAATTGTTGCTACCTCCAGTGCCACCCCAAAATGTAGTGGCTTAAAACAAACATTTATTTAGCTCAAACTTCTGCATATTAGCAATTTAGCTGTACTCAGTAAATGATTCTCCTGGAATCTTTAGTACCCTCAAATATCTCCAGTCACCCACAGGTCAGCTTTGCTGATCCTGGCTGGGTTTTTTCATATTATCTAAGACACATGAGCTGACTCACCTGTGGCCTCATGGTCTCTCTTCTTCCTGCAATCTAGTTTATTCACATCGCGGTCTCAAGGTTCGAAGGACAGTGGGGAGGGCTTGGCTTCTAGAGGTCTTAGCTGGGAACTGGCACATCATCGTTCAGATTAAGTCCTAAGACCAGCTCATACTGAAGGGATGGGGAGATAAACTCCATGTCTTGGTGGCAGGAGCTTAAAAGTAACAAAGGCTTGTAGAGATTAGGTGAGGAATAAATTGCAGTGATTTTATTGCAAACCTTCTACCTCAGCTGCTGTGTAAGAATGAAGGTCCACTGTGGCTAGAGCCTCTGATTTTTTAAGAGAAGCCAGAAACTTAGATGTAACATCTCCCAAGAGTTCAGTGCTGGCATCTAGCTCAGACATTTAATAAACACTGTGTGTGGGCGTCCTAGTCGGCTCAGAGGCTGCTGTTTATTACATCCTCTGCACTTTGGTCTTTCCTAGCCAGGCCAGCTGGACTTTGCTCATGGGCTCTGAAGCCAGGCTATATGTTGCTGGCTGTGGCTTGGCCCCTGGCCATGAGAGAGCCGTTTTATGTCTCAGGACCTGGTTTCCTCATGTGTACTGTGGGAGGAATAACAGCCCCACGTGGGGCATTGATTCATTGCACACAAGTGACACTCAACGAATCCCAGGTATTATAGTTATCTCAGCTAGGCAGGGATTCCATTTTCTCTGAGACCACACTGTAGTGCTCAATTTTATCAGTGCCATGCTCCCTTCTTATATCAAATATTACATGAATTTATTACCCTGAGACATCCTGAAATATATGTGTAAATAAATATACTGTCTCCTACCTATATTTGTCACTGAAAAAAGATCAATATAATAGCTTAACTATAAAGGAGAAATAAAAGGAAAGTCATTTCTTTTTTTAACTTTCTGTTGATTTGCAATTTTTTTTCTTTTTTTTTTTTTTGCGTGGGGGAATGGAGTCTCGCTCTGTCACCCAGGCTGGAGTGTAATGGCACAATCTCAGATCACTGTAGCCTCTGCCTCCTGGGTTCAAGTGATTCTCCTGCCTCAGTCTCCTGAGTAGCTGGAACTACAGGCATGTGCCACCACTCCTGGCTAATATTTGTATTTTTAGTAGAGACGGGGTTTCACTATTTTGGTCAGGCTGGTCTCAAACTCCTGACCTCAGGTGATCCACCCGCCTCAGCCCCCCAAAGTGCTGGATTACAAGCATGAGCCACTGTGCCTGGCCAGGAAAGCCATTTCTAATAAAATGCTATATATGTCAATGTGTATATGCTTGAACACCACTACTAAAAGATATAATGAAGTCCATCAGATGCTTTCATCTACTTATAATAAATAAGTTTGGATTTAAGAAAAGAGATATCGGCCGGGCGCGGTGGCTCAAGCCTGTAATCCCAGCACTTTGGGAGGCCGAGGCGGGTGGATCACAAGGTCAAGAGATCGAGACCATCCTGGTCAACATGGTGAAACCCCGTCTCTACTAAAACTACAAAACATTAGCTGGGCATGGTGGCGCGTGCCTGTAGTCCCAGCTACTCAGGAGGCTGAGGCAGGAGAATTGCCTGAACCCAGGAGGCGGAGGTTGCGGTGAGCCGAGGTCGCGCCATTGCACTCCAGCCTGGGTAACATGAGTGAAACTCCGTCTAAAAAAAAAAAAAAAAAAAGAGATATCTGAAGCTGCTCTGTACAAAAAGTACAGAAAAATGAAAGAATGAAAGAGCAGAGAATATGTGTACCCTAGAAAATAAACCTGACTTCTTTGTTTATGATAAGAGAAAGAAGGAGATGACACTGTTGAAAAGGGATTTATAAAAGGTAGTGTCATGGGAATTCCCATAGAGTCCAAGTACGATGAACATATTTAGGTTCTTAGAAGTGCAGCACATTTCATGCCTTTATTCAGTCTCTGAATGTTCAGGGGGGCATATGAGACATGGAACAATTCTCTGTAGTTCAGGACTGTCCTTGCAAGACATCCAGTGTACCTGGTCCGTGCCCATTAAATGCCTGTGGCATTACTTTCCAGAGCCTGGCCAATAAGAGGCACCACACCAGCCATAACTAGTTCTTTCTCAGTCTGCTAGGATAGATAGCACCAGCTTATTAGATTCCTTGGGATTCCAAAATGCATGCTGCTCCACCCTTTATTTGGGTGGGATGATCATTCATTTTTTTTTTTTTTTTTGAGGCAGTATTTGCTCTTGTTGCCCAGGCTGGAATTCAGTGGTCTGATATTGGCTCACCGCAACCTCTGCCTCCCAGGTTCAAGCAATTCTCCTGTCTCAGACACCTGCGTAGCTGGGATTATAGTCATGCACCACCATGACTGGCTAATTTTGCATTTTTAGTAGAGACAGGGTTTCTCCATGTCGGTCAGGCTGGACTCGAACTCCCGACCTCAGGTGATCTGCCCACCTCGGTCTCCCAAAGTGCTGGGATTACAGGTGTGAGTCACTGTACCTGGCTCTTCATTCTGTCTTTTAAGGCAACTCTTCCCATCTGAGAGTCAAGGGAATAAAAATCTCGCTTTTGCAGTGTGTGGGCAGCTGTGCCCTGGGTAGGACTGTCCTAATGGTGGAGGAGCCGTCAGGGTGGAGAAGGTGGCCTTGCAGAGGTGGGTCCATCCAGCAAAATGCACCGCAATTCCAGAACAATGGCTGAGGCAGCAGAGTTTGGAGAAGGCAAAAACCTTCCTTATTTTCCTTTATCAGCTAAGTGTGTTTGTTTTAAATATAAAAGTAACAAACATATGTGTATTGGAAAAAAAGGAATGTTCCAACAACACACAAGTGTATAAAGTAAAAAGGAAAAGTCCATTCCCCTAGTAATGTTTTCCATCCAAATTTTCTTCTGTATATTTATAGATAGACAGAAAGATAAACAGACAGGCAGAGGATTATTATATAGACAAATAGAATTTTTTATTTTTTATTTTTATTTATTTTATTTTTTTTGTGATGACGTCTCACTCTGTCACCCAGGCTGGAGTGCAGTGGTGCAATCTTGGCTCACTGCAACCTCCACCTCCCGGGTTCAAGAGATTCTCCTGCTTCAGCCTCCCGAGTAGCTGGGACTACAGGCGTGCGCCACCACGCCTGGCTAATTTTTGTATTTTTGGTAGAAATGGTGTTTCACCATGTTGGCCAGGGTAGTCTCAATCTCTTGACCTCATGATCCACCTGCCTCAGCCACCCAAAGTGCTGGGATTACAGGTGTGAACCACCGCACCTGGCCGATAGATAGAATTTTTATGGGGCTTCGTCTATACATGCTGTTCTCGAACTTGCATTTATGCTTAACCATAGCCATGAATATCTTTTCAGGACAGTATGAATATTTCCACAGTGTTTTGTTTTATTTAATTTTTTTGTTGAGACAGGGTCTCACTCTGTCACCAGGCTGGAATGCAGTGGCACAATCTCAGCTCACTACAGCCTCAACCTCCCAGGCTCAGGTGATCCTCCTCCCTCAGCCTCCTGAGTAGTTGGTACTACAGGTATGTGCCACCACACCTGGCTCATTTTTTGTATTTTTGTAGAGACAGAGTTTCATTATGTTGCCCAGGTTGGTCTCGAACTCCTGGACTCAAGTGATCCTACCACCTTGGCTTCCCAAAGTGCTAGGATTACAGGTGTGAGCCACTGCACACAGCATAGTGTTTTTTTAATGGTTGCAGAATTTCTTTCCTGGACTGCTCTTAGGCTATGGTTTATTTGACCATTCCTCTGTTGAAGGGTATTTGGGTTGCTTCCAATCATTTACTATCTTAGAGTCGCTGAACAACTTGTACCTTTATGTTTGTTCACTTGAGTTTGGATGTCTGTGGGTAGATTTCTAGGTGGGATTGATGGAGGAGAGGGTTTGTACCCTTTACAAATTGCCAAACTGCTCTGTCTCTCCGAGATCTTGCCAGCTGATACTCCCACCAACAGAATATGCGAAGCTCTGTGTACCGTCTTTCAATTTCTGTTACCTATCTGAAAGTTGCATAAAAAGTATTGTCCAAATTACCTTAGAAAGGCTGTAAATGTGAGCGGATGCCCCTATTCTTTGGTAACCCGTTCCTGACTGTGAGGAAGGCAAGCGATCATCTCTTTCAGGACCCTTTGCTCTCTAATTTGTGAGGCGACAGTCGGCTCTTTCCCATGGAAAGTAAGCCCAGAGGACGGAGTTTTGCAAATACCTGGCAATGGTTTCCACCTCCCCTGCCCACAGTCAGCCAAGCCCCATGACACCCTTGGTGAGAGCAGATGGCCAGTGTAGGCATCTCCTGGTGGGTAACCCCGCCCCCTGTAGCTTCTGAGGGGCTCCCACCTGTTCTGCCTATTCTTAGCTTCATGGCTGGTCTTTCCTGGGCATTTGATCTGGAGACTTTTCTAAGGAAGGAGAGCCAGAGGCAAGAGTATCCTCAGGGAGGGCCCAGAGAAAGGTTCTGAGCAGCATTGATTGAGTCTTCAAGGAGAAAGCACATTTAGATGGCTGAGATTTGAAACCTTCATGGGTTTCTCCAAGCTGTGCCTAGTGGGTACTGGTCATAATCAAGAAAAGACTGTGGAGCCCCTTCCCAGATGCCATTGACTTGGGGACTCTTGATGAAATTCCAGACATCCTTAGAAGGAGACTATAAGTAGTCATCCACGCATCAATGGTGCATCTGGACGGGACCTTGGCACCGTTACCTCCTGAGTTTTGTTTTCACTATTTTTTTTTTTTAAGAATGTGGTGTTGCTTTGTTGCCTAGGCTGCAGTACAGTGGCATGATCATAGTTCGGTGTATCCTCGGACTCCTAGGCTCAAGCAGTCCTCCTGCCTTAGCCTCCTGAGTAGCCACCATGCCTGGTTAATTTACTTTTTTTTATTGAGACAAAGGTCATGCTATGTTGCCCAGGCTGGTCTTGAACTCCTGGCCTCAAGCAATCATTTTGTTAAAAGCTTTTTTTTCATAAAAAATTTCAAACCTATAGAAAAATAGTAAAATGTAATAGATACTCACATACCCACCACCTAAAATTAACAAATGTTAACATTTTGCTGTTTGTTTCATCTATTTTTATTCTAAACGATTTGAAGGAAAGTGTAGATATTATGACTTTTTACCCCTAAATACTTTAAATACAACCCTACAAATTAAGTTATTGTGTTTTTTTTTTTTTTTTTTTTTTTTTAGAGAGACGGAGTTTCACTCTTGCTACCCAGGCTGGAGTGCAATGGCGCAATCTCGGCTCACCGCAACCTCCGCCTCCTGGGTTCAGGCAATTCTCCTGCCTCAACCTCCTGAGTAGCTGGGATTACAGGCACGCGCCACCATGCCCAGCTAGTTTTTTGTATTTTTTAGTAGAGACGGGGTTTCACCATGTTGACCAGGTTGGTCTCGATCTCTTGACCTCATGATCCACCCGCCTCGGCCTCCCAAAGTGCTGGGATTACAGGCTTGAGCCACCGCGCCCGGCCTTTTTTTGTATTCTTTTATTTATTTATTTATTTTGAGACTGAGTCCCACTCTGTTGCCCAGACTGGAGTGCAGTGGTGCAATCACGGCTCACTGCAATGTTCGCCTCCTTGGTTCAAGCGATTCTCCTGCCACAGCCTCCTGAGTAGCTGGGATTACAGGCGCCCGCCACCACACCTGGCTAAGTTTTGTATTTTTAGTAGAGACGGGGTTTCACCAAGTTGGCCAGGATGGTCCCAATCTCTTAACCTTGTGATCTGCCCATCTCGGCCTCCCAAAGTTCTGGGATTACAAGTGTGAGCCATGGCGCCCCACTGAGTTCCTGTGATTTTAAGAACTTTTTAAAAGGCAGCGAGACCATTCTATTAAATGAGGTATCACGTGGATACCCAACACAGAGAGTCGAGTTGTGCTCGGGACAGATCTGAGCAGAGATGTCAAGCATACAGTTAAACGTGCCGGTCTGGAGCTCTGGAGCAGCAATTAGAGGTGGAGATCTGGGCCTGGGATGTGTTTAAAGCCATAGGCTCAAATGAGGTCACGAAGAGAAAGCGGAGAGAGGGGAAGGAGAGGACACCCCAGGACATTCCGGCCTTGGAGAGACACCAGCAGAGGAGGCTGAGAGAGCTGCCTGCAGTGTGAGGAGAAGCAGGACAGAGGGTGTCTCTGGGGCCAAAAGAAGAAAGTGTTTCACGGGCAAGGGTGTAGTCAGTCGTGTCTGCTGTGGAGACGCCGAGCAAGCTGAGGGCAGGGAGCTGAACACTGGATTTAGGACAGGTGGGAAACCGAGACCCAGAACGATTAGTTCTAACATTTAGTACTCACAAGCTACAGATGAGGAGGAATCGGAGGACCATCAAGGGAGGGCAACTTGCCTGCGATCATACAATGAGCTAAATGGTAGAGTGAGGACTATACCCCAGGCCCCCTGGTCCTCCAAAGGGCAGACTTTACCTGCCTAACATCAACCTTCTCCCTCAGGCCACAAGCTGGATCTTCAGGCCTCAGTTTCTTGCTGGTAATTCCTCTGCAGAGGATCACCAGGTACCCATTGCTGCTGCAGAAAATCCTGGAGAACACACACCCTGATGCCAGCGCCTACCCTGTCCTTCAGAGGGCTGTCTCTGCCCTCCAGGATGTGAACACCAATATCAATGAGTACAAGATGCGCAAGGAAGTGGGTAAGGACTTGGGCATTGGAGAGGACACATTTGTGGGAATGCTTCCAGTTACAGAAAATCTATTTAAAATCAGTTTCACCAGTAAAGAGAATGTAGTAACTTATGTAACTATAAATCCAGAGGTAACGGGAGAGTTTTAGGTAGGGTTTGATCAGGGTGCTGGCTCCATTTCCCTGTAACTCCCATGTCTCTGCTCTTTACTCTGTATCAGCTTCATCTTCAGGCTGGCTTGCCTCATAATAGCAAGTTATGACTGTTCTAAGACTCACAGCTGCACGCCACACTTCCCAGGGTAAGGCAAGGTTTTTTTCCCCTTAGCCACAAAAATTAAATCGAATCTTCTCTTTGATAGGACCCTCCTGGGTCATGTGCTTACCCTGAACTAATCACCATAATTAGGGTGCCATTAACTGATTGCCTTAGGCCTGGGTTATGTGCCCTTCTTTGCATCAGTCACTGTTGCCAGGGGGTTGGAATTCTATGGATTGGCTTGTATCAGTCAACAACCCACCCTTTGAGCTAAAGTGAGATCAATCTCATCCAAACCACATGACTGCCACACTGTGGAGGAGAAACCAATACTGGGGAGGTGAAGAACTCTGCATATATCTGGGGAGAGGGAGAACCCCTGCCTCTCAGGTTGTTGAAACAGATAGGTTTGGAAAATGAAGCAGTGTCCCAAGTTAAGAGAAACTCAATTACACGACGGAGACAATATAGAAATGGCAATTCAGCTGATGTTAGTAAGAACTAACTGTGCTGTGCTTTTTCCGTTATCGTCATATTTGATCTTGGCACTAACCCTCTGAGGTTGGCCCTGTTAGCCCCATTTCACAGTCGGGTGAAATGAGAGAATACATCACTTGCTTCCTCTCACAGAACTGGTAAGGGACACAGCCAGGCTTCGCTTCGCTTCTTTTCTTTTTCTTTCTTTCTTTCTTTCTTTCTTTCTTTCTCCTCCCTCCCTCCCTCCCTCCCTCCCTCCCTCCCTTCCTTCCTTCCTTCCTTCCTTCCTTCCTTCCTTCCTTCCACCTCTCTCTCTGTCTGTCTGACGGAGTCCTGCACTGTTGCCCAGGCTGGAGAGTACAGTGGCCCGATCTCAGCTCGCAGGTTCCAGCAATTCTCCTGCCTCAGCCTCCCAAGTAGCTGGGACTACAGGCGCGTGCCACCATACCCAGCTAATTTTTATATTTTTTTTAGTAGAGACAAGGTTTCACCATATTGGCCAGGCTGGTCTTGAACTCCTGACCTCATGATCCACCTGCCTCGGCCTCCCAAACTGCTGGGATTATAAGTGTGAGCCACCGTACCTGGCTGAGAACCAGGTTTCAAACTCAGGCCTGGAGTTTTCACCACCAATGCTATACTATATTTAACAGCTTTGGATTTCCTCCCCACCTGCTTCTCCATCCAGGCCAAGAGACGACAGGTCAGTAGGAAGCACTGAGTCAGGAGCGGGAAGCATGGCTCCCAGCTGGCCTGGCTCAAACTGGCTGAGGGACTCCAGGCAACTCTCTTCTCCCTGGGTTCTTTAGGAAGTCCATTCAGACCCTCGTCTGAGGTGACTCTCCTGGCAATCCTGCAAGGTGGCTGGTCCCATTTTACAGATGAGGAAACTGAGGCTCCAAGGAGTGGTGACTTGCCAAAGTCAAACAGGCAGGAAGCTCTTCAGCCAGGGCACACACCTCGAACAGAGGACCCTGTGCTTTTCCTGTGTGACTCACCAACCTGATGAATGTGACCCTGTTGGAGCAGAGGGCCCAAGCAGGTGCCCAGCTAGGCATGTCCATGACGCTTGCTTTCCTGGGTCGGCTTTGGTCACCGTGCTTCCCCTCTTCTCTGTCGGTGCAGCCTCCAAGTACACCAAGGTAGAGCAGCTGACCCTCCGGGAGCGGCTGGCCCGCATCAACACACACACCCTCTCCAAGAAGACCACCCGGCTGAGCCAGCTGCTGAAGCAGGAGGCGGGGCTGATCCCCAGGGTGAGCATGGGCCTGGGAGGAAGAGTCCCATCCAGCCACCCCTGAGGCCAGGCCCTGTGCACGGGGTAGACAGAACTGAGGCAACAGAGGCCAAGCGAGTGAGGTGCTGGGAAGAGGCAGAGATGGCATCCCACTTGATTCTGAAGAGCCAGTGGAGGGCTTTCTCCAGTGTTTTGGGCTACTCTCTCTGGGGCCTCTTTACACAGATAGGAGAGCTGATCTCTGAGTCTGGGCAAAGAACCGGCCCCAAATAGCTACTTCTAGCAGCTCAGGTTGGCGGAGTGCCTGCTCTGAACCAAGCAGGCTCACCCAGTGAAATAGGCGTTCCCATTATCCGCATTTTGAAGATGACAAAACAGAAGCTCAGACGGTCTGGTGACACACAACTAGGAAGTCAATGAACTAAGGCTCATGCTTATGTATCTGATTCCATGCTCTGAATGCAAAACCCCTGAGCTACACTATCCGCTGAGCTTCAGGGCTGTGAGAACCTGCGCTGGTGGGCAAGCCTATGGAAAGGTTGTTCCAGGGAGGACTTGGGACACTGGAGCCGGTGTACACTGCCCCCTTGTGGATATTCTCAGCCCTCACACACATTACTTTCAGACAGAAGACAAGGAATTTGATGATTTAGAAGAGAGGTTCCAATGGGTGTCTCTGTGTGTGACTGAGCTGAAGAACAACGTGGCTGCTTACCTGGACAACCTGCAGGTGAGGACCCTGCAGCATTCATAAAGGGCGAGTCTGGGCTGGGTTCCCCCGGCAGGAGGCTTGCAGGGCCCAGCCTACAAGCTGGGGAAGGTCATCCAGTCTCAGGCTGCCACCAGAAGAATGCTGGGCAGCACTCCTCAGCCCCAGGTCATTAGACAGGGGGTGGGGGGGGGCAACTTCTGAGCCCACTGGGATTCCTACCAGGTAGGGTCAAAATTCACTGGGACCAGAGTCCTTCAGAGTGACCCTGCCAGACCAGTACCTAGAGCAGGGGAGACAAACTCAGGTGCCTGAAGGGGCCAGGCAGGTAATGCTACTGAGTGAAGTGTGCGGGCAATAGGCAATCCAGTGCAATGGAGAGTAGTGTCTAACAGGTTGTTTATGAGGCTTTTCAGTGGACTTACATATAAAATCGTATTTGGAATTTGAAGGGCTGAATGAATGAATACATAAATCAAATCTAAAGGAGCAGCTATTATTCAGCTCTGTGGGTTGGTGCTAGGTGGGAATCTGGGCCCGGTTCTTCTGACTTTAAGAAAAACAAAACTGGAAATTCAGGTATTTTCCAGATTTTTGATGACATCCCCTGATGTGTCAATGTGAGCAACTAATTACATGAAGATTTAAATGCTATGAAAGCCCAAGAAAATATATCTCTACAAACCGAATTCAGCCCATAGACCCACCAGTTTGCCTGACTCTCCAGCAACGTCAGTTTCCTCTAGCCCAAATCCTGCCTTGATTCTTAGCATCATTGCTGACTCAGTCTATCCACCCTGCGTGGTTTTGTTTTTAATTACATACATTTGTGCAAACCAGCTCAGTGAGAGATGATGATGGGCCCTTTGGATAATGAGGTGTGGGGTGGCATTATTGAAATATGTAAAGGAGGGAGAGTGTAGCTCCACGCTTCTCTGTGTGGGTCAATCCCACTGCTCATTCATGTTCCACGGTGGGCACCCCCAGTGGCAGGGTCTGAACAGCCCGGATCCTGTTACAGCACAGCAAGCAGGAGGGGAAGACGCTCAGAGCCAAGGCATGAAAACGAAAGGTGGGCCTACGAGTATGGGGCCTCAGAAACCAACCAGATGAGGTCATCCAGTCTCTGGCTGCCACCAGAAGTATTGGGCTTTGAGAGAGGTTACCACAGGGACGTGAGAGATTCCTCCGGCTTTGCCGAGCAGGATGACTGTTTGGAAATGTTAAGGCTGCCTCTCTGTAGACGCAGGACTTACACGACAGATATGGAGTTAACATGGAGTCTTGTCATTAGTGAGGGATTCCCTCTTTTAACCCTCTGACTGAATCCAGGAAAAGCCTACTTGCTGGTATTCCTTTAACACATACAGAATGAGTTTCAGGCTGAGTATCATTTCAGAATGATATCCAGACAGGAGAACGTAATGACAGCGTTTTGTTTTTATAGCAATTATTTTATATGCTTATCTGTGGTGATTATTGCTGGTTTTCCCGTTGTGTGGTAATTTTAAGGTGTGTGTGTGTGTGTGTTTTTTTAATGCATTGATGTAAATAGAAAAGGTTAATTGATTTAGAGAAAAGCATTAATAGAACATGTGAAATATGGACATGAAGAAAAACCTACTGCCACGTGTGGAGGCTCACGCCTGTAATCATAGCACTTTGGGAGGTTGGGAGGCTGAGGCAGGTAGATCACTTGAGATCAGGAGTTCGAGACCAGCCTGGCCAACATGGTAAAACCTTGTCTCTACTAAAAATACAAAAAAAAAAAAAAATTAGCTGGGTATGGTGTTACATGCCTGTAGTCCCAGCTACTTGGGACGATGAGGCAGGAGAATGGCTTGAACCTGGGAGGCAGAGGTTACAATGAGCCAAGGTCGCTGCACTGCACACCAGCCTGGGTGACACAGTAAGATGCTGTCTCAAAAAAAGAGAAAAAAACCCCACAAAGATGGATGCAAATGTGTGAAGTTCAAGAAGCACTGGAATGAGGAGTAACAGGTCGGTTCAGCCTAAGGCAGAGCCTTCTAATCACTTAAGCTGTGTCCCTCTGGGGTGTGTAGAGAGCCTGGACAACCTCTTCAGGAGGTACGGTGGAAGGGGATTCTAGCCTAAGATGGCCACAACAGCCCATGATTGGATGTTTCTCCTTGGTACTGGGTCCAGGCTTTCCTCTGCTTCAGGCCGCACGAATACAATCTGGACATCCCCGAGGGGCCTGCAGTGCAGTACTGCAATTTGGCAAGAGACCTTCAGCTGGAGGCCTTCCTGGAGTTTGTGAGTGGAACTTTTCCTTTCTTCTTTCTTTGTTAGGCAGGTGGTAGAACTTACAAGAATAGTATTTAGAAGTCAGGCATTTTATGCAGCTGTCACATCTGTAATCTTCCTGAGAGGTCAGCAGCATAGAGATTATTATCAGTGCACTTTACTGATAAAAATAGACCCCAGGCGGAGGCGGGCGGATCACGAGGTCAAGAGATCGAGACCATCCTGGCCAACATGGTGAAATCCCGTCTCTATTAAAAATACAAAAATATTAGCTGGGCGTGGTGGCACGTGCCTGTAGTCCCAGCTATTCGGGAGGCTGAGGCAGGAGAATTGCTTGAACCCAGGATAGGGAGATTGCAGTGAGCGGAGGTCGCGCCACTGCACTCCAGCCTGCCTCCTGGTGAGGGAGTGAGACTCTGTCTCAAAAAAAAAAAAAAAAAAATAGACCCCATTAACATTTATTGAGTCTCACTATTTGCCAGACTCTATACTAAGCCCTTTATATTCCTTACATCATTTAATCCTCACCATATAGTTTTGGGGGTGGCTACTATGAATAGCCCCATCCTGCAGATGGGAGCTTGAGGCTCAGGTAGGGTGACCTCCTGGGTCATTTATATGGTCAGTGGTAAGCTGGGATCTGAGCCCCAAAGACTCTTGACCACCACTCTGTACAAAATATTTTCTAAGGCTGTGCAAGGTGGCTTACACCTATAATCCCAAGACTTTGGAAGGCCGAGGCAGGAGGATTGCTTGAGCCCGGTTGTTTGAGATCAGCCTGGGCAACATAGAGAGACCCTGTCTCTACAAAAAAAAACATAATAATAAAATTAGCTGGGTGTGGTGGCATGTGCCTGTCATCCCAGCTACTTGGGAGGCCAAGGCGGATCACTTGAGCCTGACCGGTAGGCTGCAGTGAGTTATGATCATGTCACTGGGAGACAGCCTGGGAGACAGAGTAAGACCCTGTCTCAAAAAAATAAATATATATATTTTCAAGATCTTTGTATAATAATGATTGGAAGTGCTCTATAAGATTGAATGCCTACTCTGTGCCAGGCACTCTGTTAAGCTTATTACATGTATCATCCCCATTTTTCAGATAGGCAGATTGAGGCCCAGAGAAGTTAGATAACATGGTAAGGTCCCAGCTAGTCGGTGGGGCTTAGGCTGGAACCCAGGCCTGCATGCTTCCAAAGCCCCTTTCACAGCCCCTGCTTTCTGCCACCTCCTTTCCCAACTCCCTTGCTCACCTCTCCTTGCAGAAGCAGCGGCTGGAAGGCCTGGTGTGGCAGCCACTGTGCAGCCTGGCCAAAGCCCTGCTCGGCCCTCAGAACCTGATCAAGAAGCGTCTGGACAAGCTACTGGACTTTGAGCGGGTAGAAGAGAAGCTGCTGGAGGTGGGCAGTGTGACCTATGAGGAGCAGGCCACCCGGCACACGTACCAGGCACTCAACTCCCTGCTGGTGGCTGAGCTACCACAGTTTAACCAGCTGGCCATGCAGTGGCTGGGCCAGATCCTGTGCACATTCGTGACCCTCCAGAGGGACCTTGCAAAGCAAGTGCTGCAGAGGGCAGAGGGGAGCATGGCCCAGGTAAGGCCGCTGGAGCTGGGACACCTGTGGGGAGTAGCCAGGCAGGCCCTGCAGCCCCATCAGCCAGGTGTGTGTAGGGCTAGGAGGGAGGGAGGCATCAGGCTCTTAGGAGGAGGCAGTGGGCACCTTCCAGATCTCTCTCATGCCTAGTCTTCCTCTGTTAGTGAAGTCAGACCATGAAAGCAAGGATAGGACTGAGATTCCAGACCATTCCCAAGTCCTGCAACTCAGAAGCAGAAGCTTTGCTGGTACAATAGCAGACCTTGGGATTGATCTCTGAAGTGTGCTAGAAGCTGGTGACAGAGACGGAAGGTCGCGTCTACACAGTCAGGAGTAAATGTCTCAAGCCGGTGTTACTACTTCTAGCAGCCCTCTTCTCATGAGTACTTTGGATGAGCTCATTCAACCCTCACAACAACCCTACAGAGTAGGTATGATTATTCTCATTTTAAAAATAAAGAATCCAAAGCACGGAGAGGTTAAGTAGCTTGTCTAGGGCCACACGGCTAATAGCAAGCTTTGAACTCTGACAGTTCAGCTCCAGATCCTGGGCTCTGAACCACAACACTCAAGAGCCTGTAAAAGGAGCTACTTACTGGTTGAAAGCGTAAATAGGTTCCACAGAGGTTTGGCTAAACCTCCAAATGCAAACTTGGTTTTAGTGTTTGAAAGACTGGAGTTGATATAGGGAAAAATACCCACCTGATTCCAGATTTTGCTCTCAGATGTCAACGTTAAGAGCTGAATTGCTGGTGGGTCCAACCTTGGGAGCAGTTTCAATACTTCTTATGTCACACACTGTCTCCTGTGTGTCACCGTCTCCAGCTCAGCTTTTCCCCATCCAATCCTTTGCATGAAAATTCTACTAAGATTTGCCTTCCCCACCCTATCCCCTTTGCAGCCCACAGCCCTCCCCTCCAGCACACAGCTACTGAATGTAGCCATTCTGCACAGATGCCTGTCTTGGCTTCGAATGCCCCTCTCCATTGTCCCTCAGCACTTTAAGTGTCTGGCATAGAGTAGGAGCTCCCCATACAGGTGACAGATGAATGAGTCTCTCCATGAAGCTCTCAGAGCTCCCCATCCCCTGGTGGGGAGAAGTCACCTCCCTCTCCTCCATTCTCCAGCAGCCCTGTGGATGGGACTGTGTTCAGTACTTTCCGGAGCCTGCCTTCTGCTGCAGGGACCCATAGATGTGTTTCTCCTCCAGCAGGGGGGCTGGGACTGCAAGCTTTTCCTCTTTTTGGTCCTTGCAGAGTTCTGTCCCCGACACTCTTTGCAAATTGAATTAGGCCTGAACCATCAGCAAAAGAAGTGTTTCTCTTCCTTGAGGGCAGAAGAGTAAATCTGATGAGGTGATCTTTTTCCTTTCTTCTAGCCTAGAGGTTTTCTCTCTTAGGCTGCCTCAACCCCTTGTGTTAAAGCTGGGATGTGCAGAGCTGGGGAGTGTTTGGGGATGCCAGTAGAGAGGTGGTCACATTTATAAAAGCAGAAAGTAAGGGCGCTTCCTGATTGGTCCTGTCAGAGTCTGCTGGTGACAGCTGCCAGCCTGCCTTATCTGTGTCCTGTGGTCCACAAACCTGGCCTGTCCCTGTGGGGCCTGGGAAAGGCTGCAGGCAGAAACCTCAATCTCCCTTCATGCTGGTGGGAGGAAGGCTCTAGGTCAGCACTGAGAGCAGTGAGTTTGGTGACAAGCTGTGAGTTTGGTGACAAGCTGTGGGGTCTCACTCACTCCTAGGTTGTCTGATGAAAATGCAAGAGATCCTGCACAGGGTCAAGGTCTCAGGACAGAGCGTCCCTGAGAGCTCCTTGGGTTGAAAGTAACAGAAATCCAAACCAAGCCAGGGATCTCCTTGTCCCCTCTTGCCCAAAGCTCTGTTGACAGTGTCTGTCCCCACTTAGCTGCCCCACCACGATGTCCCAGAGCCTGCCTTCAGGAAGCTGGTGGGGGACACACTGGGCCGGACGAGTAAGCAGCTTCACTCCTTTCAAGAGAACTTTGAGAAAGTGCTGCCACCTCCCACCACACAGGTAAGCATCCTTCCTCACCCCAAAGACTGGCCAGTTCCTCACTGGCCTTTGGGGTGAGGCTCCATCCCCTCTTTCCTTTCCTTTTTGTCCCCCAGTGTTTCCTGTTATCCATGGAAATAAGCTCTCTTCTCTCTCCTTTCTCTCTGAGCTGGGGTGGGGGACACACCCACATACATACATATTCTTCACATCCAAGAAGTAGAAGAACAGCACAGAACTTCTGAGTCAAGGAAAAGAAAACTCAAACCTTTTGATATTAAGTGAAATTAGACATGATAATTGACAAATGGTATTGACATCCAAAAATCTAGAACTTCTTCAAATTGTCATTGAAAGGTATCTTTGGCCGGGCATGGTAGCTCACACCTACAATCCCAGCGCTTTGGGAGGCTAAGGCTGGCGTATCACTTGAGGCCAAGAGTTCAAGATCGGCCTGGCCAACATGGCAAACCCCGTCTCTACTACAAATATAAAAATTAGCTGAGTGTGGCGGCGTGTGCGTATAATCCCAGCTACTCGGAAGGCTGAGGCAGAAGAATTGCTTGTGCTTGGGAGGCAGAGGTTGCAGTGAGCCAAGCAAAGGTATCCTTTTCTGTCCCTGCCTTCTAATACCAGCTTCAATATGAGCATTCAACATAAGTAAAATTTTTGAATATGTAATTTAAATTTCCTTTTGCTATGTTTTTTTTTTTTTTTTTTTTTTTTTTTTAATTGAGTTTTGTTCTTTGTTTCGCGGG